TACTATTCGTTAGTAAAAGAGTAGCCCAAGAGATGGCGGTGGGTGGCCTTCCCTCTAGTCTTACACTGCTAAATTAGGGACGGCTAACGCAGATAGCCCTCGTGTAGTTTTGTGCGAAATTCAAAACAAACAAACAAACTATTCAACACGCCCCTCAGTGACACAGTGGTATGTCTGCGGACTTACAACGCTATAAACTGGGTTTCGATACCCGTGGTGGGCAGAGCACAGATAGCCCTCGTGTAGCTTTGTGCGAAATTCAAACCAAAAATTGCGTCGTTGTTTTCCAACAGCTTTGTCGCACTGAGAGAACTCTACTGACACCGTTGCAAAAGAAGAAAAAGGCGTTACTGAACTCAAGTTGTTTGAAACCTATCTGAGTTTACTTGTGATTCGAACAAGAATGGCTGGACAGGAAACAGTTACCATCGAGCATGAAATTGCACAAAATTGGTTTGGAAGCAAGCAGTGGGCGATTTCGTCTCAATGAAAACAAGAAAAGTTAAATTTTCGTACCTGTTAACTGCTGTTATAACAGCATTTGATTTATAGCCCTACGAATTTGTAACACAGTGGAAAGTAAAACTGAAAACTTGCCTAGAGCTGTAAAAGCTACCTTAGATCTTTGTTTTACATCTTCTCAATGGGATATTGAATTGAGAAGATATGGTGCTATAACGATTTGAGAAGATATATTGTTATATTAACATGACCATTGTGTGCTTGATGTTATAATTCTTGTTCAACTATCAGGCACTAAATTCTAAAAATGTTCTCCACTGTTGGTTAGAAATATGTAAAATTAAGCTTTTCACAGCACTTAAAAAGTCAAAAGAAGTAAACTGGATAACTCACGTCAACGATGTTACAACAGAAAAGTTTAAAAAGTTAATACGTACCATCTCTATGAATTTATTATAGTGACTTGTACTCAAGGTTGCTTCGATTAGGGATCGTCCATTGTTATATACAGCACAAATCATCAGGCCTAGTGAGAACATGTCACTAAGTGGAGAACAGCTAGAGGTCGCTAGTACTTCAGGGGCGGTGTAGTCCAGGTCTGGTTGGCCCATCTTTGGAAGCTTAGAAGTAAAGGATTGGCAGGGCACAGGACTCTGAGAAAAGTGAAAATAAACCCAACACCAACAAACAATAACAATAATTAATAATTATCACCATCTGTCCATAAACATTATTTATCTACAACAATGCTCTCTACTGTCTCTTTTCATGTCATTTGAGGTATTTCATATTGTCTTTCTTAGGGTTATATATTATATGAATCATCTAAGATACTTAAACAACGTATGACTATAGATAGTTGAAATAGTTACTATTAACAAGATATTTCAATAAAACGGTATACTTTAGTCATATTCCCAACACAATAAATCACACATGATGTTAAGATGACATGGCACTAAAACTAGATATTGCTTTTTAATCTGTGGGTAATTCTTTGAAGCAGAGAAAGGTTTAAAATGCATCTTTATGGTATCTAAAGAAATGAGTGAATCTCACAATACTGAAAAGCCTAAATCGTTACACTTACTATGGAACATTTAAAACATAAAATATCACATTGTAAGTATATTCAAAATTATATTTATTCAGAAGCTTAGAAAACTTAGGTATAAATAGGACGGCGATGTGATTCATATAATAAAAAAGCATATTCTGAAACAGAATACTTACTAACAGTAGTAATCTTATAAAAAATTATGAACTTCAAAGAGAAAGGATTCATATAGTATTTAGGCAATTTGAGGTTTTACCTATGTTTGTCGAACATCATGATAAATGTTTTCGCTGAATTTACAGCGTAATCACAACAATGATATTTCATAATCGTTCGG